CAGACCCATGTCAGCCAGAGCAAACACCAGATGTCACAAATAGGCCTCTCTGCTTTCTCCCAGTCTTCCTGGCCGTAGATGATTGCCACACATTCTTTTGCTTTATTTAGAACCTCATAGGAGATCAATTAAGGGGCTGGAGAGATGGCTCAGCGGTCAAGAGCACTGGCTGCTCTTGCAGAGCACCAGCACCTACCTGGAGGCTCACAACCATCTGTAACTCCAGTTCCAGGGGATCAGAGACCTCTGACCTCTGGCCTCTGTAGGCACCAGAAATGCATGTGGTATGTAGGCACACAAGCAGAAAAAACACACTCACACACATGAAATAAAAATAAGTAAATCTTAAAAGAGAGAAAGAGAGAGAGAGATTAATGCCAGACATGCTGGTATGCACCTGTCATTCATCCCAGCTCAGGAGAGAAAGGAAGGAGGATCAAAAAGTTCAAGGTCAGCTTGGGCAACATGGAGATCCTGTCTCAAAAAAAAAAAAAAAAAAAAAAAAAAAACAGAGAGAGAAGCAGAAAGGGACAAAAGGGCGTGCCTATGGTGCCTCCCATCACTAGAGATTTTATGACTTTTATTTGTTTGTGTTTTGTACATTGATGTATGTATGCCATGTGTATGTGTCTTATGTGTGTGAACATTAATGTGGACACAGGTACAGGGGCCACTGCCTTCCACCTGGTCTGAGACAGGGTCTCTTGGCCTGTGAGAGTCTAAAGGTCCCCTTGTTTTAGTCCCCATGCTTTCCTAGGAGTTCTGGGAATTGCAGACACTCACACTGGGTGTCCAGCTTTTTGTGGGTTCTGGGGATTCAAACTCAGGTCCTTGCACTTGCAGAGAAAACACCCACTGAGCCAGCTTCCTGGCTCCAGCACGAGTGATGTCAGATGCTAGCATACTGCAGAAGTAAAATGAATGACAGGTGAGTAATTTACAATGGTCTCCAGATCTGAACTATAATTATGAGGTATTTCTAGGTATATACTCAGGATGCAAAGTGTACAGAATCCAGAGCTAATGTTAATTTATTACTGACAGCTAGATATATGATAATATATCATGTCTTTTCATCGTACATTCCTTCTGACTTACATGGAGCAAACTTTTAATTCATTAATAAAGTCAAGACTTGCCATTACTCTTAATGATGAAGTTCCATTTTGAACCCAGAAGACCTCCTGTAATTAAACTCTGAACCTCCACAGACTAGACATCTGAAGCTTAGAAAGAGGATAAATTGAACTTCTGGTTTTACAAGAGAGGTGGAAAATGTCAGAAAGACGGAGCCCACCTGCTCTGTGCCCCAGACGAGAAAGAGCAAAGTCAGTGGTGATTGCTGACCACACTGTGTCCTTCTCCCTCCTGGCCCTACTGCTGACTCTCTCTCCCTCTCTCTTTTCTTTGTTTCCAGTGTGGGGATGGCAGGCAAGGACTCCACCCCAGAGTTACCATCTGAATCCTTCTTTTACTGTGTGAGACAGGCTGACTTTGAAAGCATTATGATCCTCTCTGCCTCTGACTCCTGATTAGCTGAGGTTACGATGAGCTTTTCTTTTTAAAAACAATTTTTTAGCGATTGACTTATTTTTTTATATGTTTGAATTTTGCCTGCATGTATGTAAGAGAACCTCAGACATGCCGGGTGCTCTCAGAAGCTAAAAAGAGCACCAAATCCTCAGAACTAGACTTACATTCAATCATGAGCCACCATATGGGTGCTGGGAACCAAACCTGGGTCCTGTAGAAGAGCAGCAAGTACCCTTGACCAAGAGATATCTCTTCAGAACCAATCTTCCATATATATATGGTCACAAAAATTATATTAGTACCAGCCAGACATAGTGGCAAATGTCTGTGATCCCAGCACTTGAGAGGTTATAGTGGGAAGTCTGTGGTTCCTGGCCAGACACTGACTGAAAAAGAAAATAAAATCTTAATTACTGTATTTTTTTTAATATAGGCAACTTGCCTCATTCAATCCCCTGCGCTGTTCAAAAAACTTACATGATTAATCCCTCTCCAAAAAGCTAATCTAATCTTATTTTCCCAAAGACAAAGTGTCCTTCAGAACTATCATAGCTTGAAGGACTTTTGTTTATATACTGCATGTGTGTGTGTGTTGTGTCTATGTGCATGCTTGTGTGTGTGTGTGTGGTGTGTGTGTGTGTGATTACACACTTGTCATGGTACATGCATAAAGGTCAGAGAAGAACTTCCAGGAATGGGTTCTCTGTCCTTCCACTGCACAGTTCAGGTCTTCAGGCTTGGCAGCCTGCACCTTTGAGCTACCTCACCCACCCAGAAACAGACTTCCTTGGAGTTCAGCTACTGCGGTGCCTCACTCAGTTTCTTGCCAGTTACCAACTTGCACTGTTTCCATTTGTGTTCCCAGTGGGTTGGTTTAAGGTGTACCCGATTCTGTGGTCACTTTAGACACTACAGACCCATGGTACTTGTGGAAGGAAGCCCTTTAACCTCATGACCTGCTTAAGGCCCCCAGGGCAGAATAACAGTGTGCGAAGATGGGGGCTTGTTCATCAGGGTCATCTCTGATAACAGAGATGAGATCTCCCCGAACAAGGGCTAGGTAATTGAGTAAGCAAATTTGGAACAGACGATCTTGCTACGGCTGGTTAATTAAATCGTGAGAAAAGCATCTTGTGGCAGGTGCAAGGTGCTGGGAGCTTATTGAGGCATCCTCAAGTTCAGTGGAACAGTGCCTGGTTCTTGCCACAATCTTTCTGGAGAATTGTTGTTGTTGTTGTTGTTTATTATTATTATTATTATTATTATTATTATTATTATTATTTTAGAAAAAGTCATATTAAGCGGAATCGGCAATACAGGCCTTTAACATCAGCTACTTGGGAGATAGAGGCAAGAGAATGGAAGATTCAAATTAAGCCTAGGCTACACAAGTGAGTTCAAGGCTGGCCTGGGTAACTCTGGGAGACCCTATCTAAAAATTAAAAAGTGAAAAGGAAACCTGGGGACACAGCTCAGGAGAAGACCACTTGGCTGGCAGGGCACAAAGTCCTAGCTTCCAGCCCCAGCACTACAAAAGTAAGTGTGTGTTTGTGTGAACTCAGATAGATACACGTGTTCGTGAGCATACATATATACATATCTTTACATACATTTATGTGTGTATATATATCTATGCACATACACACACAGATGTAGTTGTTGATTTTTTGCGTCACGGGCACGCTTAACCACTTGGCCACCTCTGAAACCTCCAGCTGTAAATTGTTATCTAGAGGTGCAGTAAATAAAATGGCAACCCTACCTAAACACCAGTGTGCATCACTATTTTTTGTGTTTACTTTTTGGTCTTTCTCTCATTTGGTATCTGACAACTCAAACCCAAATTCTTTGAAGTGGCTTCTAAATATATCAGGAAACATCCGAAACATCCCTCACCTAAGGAGTCAAGTCTGATGCTATCACCAGAATCCTCTTTCCTTCCTCCCGACCACGCCCACCCACTGAGCCCAGGCAGCAGCGGCTGGCTCTGTCCTGCTGCTGTCTCCTAACTGCCTGCTTATTCCTGGGCTGGAGGCTGAGTGAGGTTGCTTCTCTCTGCTTGTTTTTCACGGCATTAGCCCAGGAGCCAACAGGGTTTGTTACAGCAGAGTATATACTGCATGAAATAGACCCAAATGACAAACAAGACAGCTCATCACAGTCACGTGGCCAAGTTCACCAGGTCAGACCTTGGAAACTCTGAAAATCTTTCAAGGATCTCAAGGTGGCACCACATGTAAAAGAACTTTCAGCCAAAGCTGACAGTCCCTGGGTTCAGTCCCTGGGACCTATACGTTAGGAGAACCAACTCCAGAAAATTGTCCTCCGGCTTCCGCACACAGGCTGTGGCACACTCACACACGAATAAATAAATGCAATATTTTTTAAATTTTAAACCTTTTTTTTTTTTTTTAAGAGAAAGTATTTTGGAGCAAAGGGATTCCTCAGAGCCAGCACTGCCCTCCCATCAGACACCTGAGTTGCATGTGGTAAGGACCTCTACATTTCCCACTAACAATGCCTCAAAAACAGTAGTTCCAACTAGATACGGTGCGGACACATCTACTCTCCCAGCTACTCTGGACGGCTGAGGCAGGAGGATCATAACTTCCAAGATCTGGCTGGGCTACATCATGAATTAGAAACTAGAGTGAGCTACCTGTCTCAAAAAAAAAAAGAAAGAAAGAAAGAGAGAGAGAGAGAGAGAGAGAGAGAGAAAGAAAGAAAGAAAGAAAGAAAGAAAGAAAGAAAGAAAAGAAAGAAAGAACTAAAAAAAAAAAAAAAAGAGGGGTGGAAGAGCGTTTACTGGTATGTGAAAAGCCCTGCATTCATTCCCCCGTACCTCTGTCTGGGCAGAGAATACGGTTCAATGCGTAAAAGTACCTGCAGCCAAGCCTGAAGGCCTGAGTTCGAAATCACGATTCTGGAAAGTGTTCCTCTGACCACCACGAGTCTCCACAAACACAATAAATAAATAAGTAAATAACAAAAATCTTAAAACATTTAGACTTATTTTGTGTGTGTGAGTGGTTTACTGTGTATCTGTGCACCGTGTGTGTGCCTGGTGTCTGTGGAGGTCAGAAGAGGGTAAGAGCTTCGGATTGCCTGGAACTGGGGTTACGCACGGTGGTGAACCACTTTCCGGCGCTGGGAACCAAACGTGGGTCCTTACAAGACCAACAAGTGCTCTAAACCGCCGATCCGTCCCTCCAGCCCCCATTACACTTTTTTAAAAAAGAACAGGTCAGCCAGAGTCACACGCACAGAGGTGAAAAGAACGATGGGGTAAATGAGGAGGTGAAGAACGCCCAGCACGTTGAGGCCACAGTGGCTAGTCGCTGAGTTCTAGACCTACCACCAGCGAGGACAGGACCCGGGTGCCACAGCCCCGTCCGCCAGAGGGCGGGGCCTGTGCTGTCTCCGCCCCCGCCGCAAGCTCCGCCCCCACCGCGCGCCTCCAGGCTCACCTGACCTGCCCGCCGCTCACGTGATCCGTCTCGGAGCCGCCATCTTGGAGCCACGGCCGAGGAGGGGGCCAAGCGGGGAAAAGAGAGGGAAAAGAGCCGGGAGCGAGGCGGACGAGGGCGAGGGGACGGCGCGGTCCCGGCCGGCCAAAGGAGGCTCGCAGAAGCGGCAGCCCGTCGCCCGACCGCAGGTACCGCGCCCCGGGCCGCCCCTCCGCTTGAGCGCTGCCGGCCATGTGCGGCCTCGCCGGTGACGCCCGCTTCCTCCTCGCCGGTGACGCCCGCGGCGCTGCCACGCACCCGAGCGCCAGGGCCCTGCGTGCACCGTCGTCCCTCCGCCGGGCCTCCCGGGGTGGGGGTCCCGCTGCTCCTCAGGCCCCGGCGAGGCGGCTTCTCCTTCTGGAGACGTGAAATCGCTTTAGGCCAGCCGGGACGGAGCTTAAGTTTCTCTAATCCCCGGCCCTTTAACCACGCAGCCAGGGCAAAAGAAAACTAGCAGCCCTGGCCTCGCACACTTGCACGTCCTCTGGGATGACTGATATCTCCCGAGATCGCCGAGTCCACTGGGGAAAGTGCCCACCTGTACAGACCTGGGACACCCCTATCGTTTGTTTGGAGTGCGAGGCCTGGGTGATTAATTAGGCCCAGGCAGCCTCCAAGCCCCAACCCAAGGCGGCGTTTTTTAGGTTGCTGACAACAGTGGACTGGAATTTGCTCTCAGTCTACATCGCTCAAGGCAGTTACTGTATTTGTCACCTTTTCTCGGCTTGTACTTTCTACTGTACGGGTCTGATTCCGTGTATGGATTGCTGTATTGATTAAAAAGAAAGCTTGACCCTTCATTTCTTTACCATGGTAACTCGTTTGAAAATTAACTTCGGAGGACGCCCCAGCGGTGTACTAATTTTACTTAACTTATAATCGCTAAGTTGCTTTCTTCGGAAACCGAATAAGCATACTTTAAAGCAGCTATGGGAAAAGGTAGCAAAGAAATGGAGGTTCAGGGCAGGAAACAGCATTGGAAAATATATAGGTCAAGCCACGCTGTCATATCTTTTCATGGTACCATTCTGCCCACTGTGTTTGACGAATTTACATAATCACCCCTTAGGCTGTAATTTCGGTTAAAGTTAAAATAGCAATATGTCATTTATTATTCCATATTGGTTAGAAAATTATGTCAGTAAAACCAGTAGTTTGCTGAGTGAATTACTTAAGGGAGGGAGGGATGGTTTAAAATATACAATTGTTAGAAGTTTTCCAGACTCATTTGTTTTAGCTTCTGTGAAGTCTTCTACTTGTTAAGTAAATTATGTAAATCTGCCTCACAGAATTACATTGCATGAACAGCCTTTTGAAATTTCTAATGTTAAGTATTGGAAGTTTCTTCACCTCACTGCCAAAGTTTGTTTGTTTCACCCACCAAGGAAGATAAGTGTTTGATGATGTTTACTTTCCTTCTTGGCCACAGCTGGATTGTGACTATTGATCCAGAAGACTATTGATTTCAAGAACTGATTGGAAAGATTGGCTCTGCCACTAACAGCCATGTAACCTTGGGTAAGTCACTCACACCCCAGTGAGCTGCCTTATTTATATGTTGGCACCATCATCCACAGAATTCTGAGCAGAGGAAGCTGTTTGCTGCTGCCCATGAGTAACAGGAATGTGTTGTTCCTCCTCTCCCTGTGGACCCTTTGTTCACCTTGAGGATGGAAAGGGAAACTGTTACTCTAGGGAAAGCATGGCTTTCAACTAGGATTGGCTTGGATCACTGTTCTTAAAGCAGATACTGCTTCACATCTATGAGCCGCAGATCTGGTACTCTACACCTCATCTCCAAAGAGGGACTGGATACCGGGTATTAGAGGAATATTACAGGAAGTGGATGCAGGCCCTACTATGGGTTTGTAGCTCAAGGACAAATGCTCTTCAGCACTGTGTTTAGCATGGTGCTTCCTAAATTGCAATGAGGTTGAATACTTCTTGATGTTAGTTAGGCTGTGTCTTAATTCTAGCTGCTAAGTCAATATATTATCTCAGGCAAGGTGCCAAGTAAGAAACTCTAGACTATGAAACCCATGTACTTTCATATTTATACTTTGGTTTTCTCTTAGTAGCTATTAGTACATTGAGCTGAGAGGATTTTAAAGAAATTATAGCTGACCTTAGTAAGGTCTAAAGTAAAAGTAGCTTTTAGGTTACTTTTAAGAGACAGTTTGTAATTCCATGCTCTAAAAGTTTATCTAGCTTTACCCTCCCATTTCACATCAGAAGGCTCTAAAACAGGTAGTAACTTACCTAGGTCACACAGCTGAGGGCACTTCAGAGGAGGGAGGGACCTGACCTTTTTTTGGCTGAAACAAATAACTCAGATAGATTAAATTTTAGAGACTCTGAAAGAGCATGGAATTCAGTAGCTATCACTTCTTGGGTTTGGGTGTGGGGTTTTTGTTTGTTTAATTTGCTTAGTTGGGGAAAAAAAAACAAATCCTTAGTCTGAAAGAGAATGTTCTTTATATCATCTTATTCTGTCTTTACATAGACCCAGAAAATTACAGCCTTTTCTCCAAGCCCACATGAATTTTTTTCACTCAGTTCTACTTGTAATCATACTGCTATAACTAAAAGGAACTAATTAGATACACAAATACACCAAATAGCAAATTACAAGAAAATAAAGACAACTGAACTTGTTCACTTTTCTTGGGAAAGACATTAATTACAAGCTTTTTCCTGTGGATTACTGTTGTCAGGAACAAATGTGAGAAACTCGGTGAGAAAGATCAGGAGAGCAGTTTATTACTTGTTCTGACTTGATCTTTTGATCTGATATATCCAGTGCTTTCAAACAAAAAGCGCCAACTTGACCCAGCTTCTAGACTTGTGTCCCGTGAACCTTCACCTTGGGGAGCATGCCTATTCCTGCTTGTGGGAAGATGTTCATATTAGAGCAGGCTTCCTCGTCGCTCTTACTTGTATTAACAATGGGGAAGTGAACAGTAACCTTCTCAAATCAGGGTAACTCAGGGAGGTTGTGTTTACAGAGGTAATGTTAATATGGGTATTGGGCTTCTAGAGGGGTGATGGAGATAGTAGGAGCATCAGGAGAAAGGAAGTACCAAAGCAAGAAATAGATTTGTGGAGGGCAGCTGTCTGGGAAGAACTGGCCTTCTGTTAAGGAGCAACCAATCCAGGGTGATCTTTTAGTGGGGAACCAGAACATTGACCGTCCTGCTCTTTGTCACCTGTGTCCCTCTTATCCTCATGGCTCTCCATTGGCAGTACCCAGCCAGAGGACCAGAAAGCATAGTGATAAAATTAGTCCTCAGACAGAGAGTCCCATCGAAAAGATGGTACATGGTCCCAGAGAGCCCAAGTGGTGATGTCTGCCATGGCCCTAGATGCTAGGGACCAATGCATATATGCCTCTGCCCAGAAGAGCCTTTTCGCAGGACGAGGCCATGCACTCTTAGCCTTGCTGTTACCACACTGGTACTAGGAAAGCCGCTGCTTAGTGTTCCCAGCCTCTCAGCGTGTTTGTCATTACCTCCCTGTGAGAGGCTGAGTGGAGAATGCTCCTGGCCTCCCTAGTTGCCTTGTGCCTTGCACAAGGTGATGTTTGGGGGAATTTCTATTTTGCAGGCGTTTGCAGTAGTACATGAGCAGGCAGTCATGCCCACCTTTACTAGCAGTCAGTTGTTCTGCCTGTCAGCATCTTCCTCAGCCCCACCCAACTACACGCCCATTGTCATTTCTTTGAGCTGTGTTTGCATTGGCCTCTTAAGTCCAAAGATGGTGTTCACATTAGCATGATCTGTGGTGTGGTTTGGGTCACTAGTAGTGTATACTGACTCTTTTCATCTCTAATTCAAATGAATTTTAGCTCACCTGACATAAATAATGTATATATAAATATTTACATATTTACGTGTACTATGTTTATAATACACATGGACTGCATGAATGGTCTAAGGAAAAAAATTGAAATTGAAGGATTGGCTCTACTGACCTCTTGTGTATTTTACTATGGCTATTTGTGACCTTTTATTTAACAGACTTTCCTTTTTACTGAGTTTTTGCTTTCTTGTTGGTTTTGCCTGCAGACTTAAACTGGTTTTTTCAGGTGTCTGTTGATGCGTTTTATGTTGTCATATCGGTTTGATAGCTGCCTTACTGTACTTATCCCCAAACGTATGCAGCCTCTAAAATGAGATACTTACATAAACGTTCTGGGGAAATTGGAGCATCTGCTGCAAGTTGCCATTAGCTGTTAATGCCTGAGCACACACAGCTCTGAAAATGAGTGTTGTGTCAAATTCTTTTGTATTTGTCTTTTTCTTTAGCTAAGATGAACTCCTCCTCTTGACTTCACCTTCTTTTTAAGGAACACACTGAACTCTCTGGCCGTGGGGAACAGTTTGCACTTCTCTGTCTTCCTTCCATTGGATCACTGAGTAGAAGAAAGGAAGCAGGAGGACCCTCTGTAACACTAGGTGGAAGGTCTGCTAAGCAAGCCTCAGCTGGCTTCCTCCAGGTCATCGGCTAGCCTGCATGGCTGCCACACACAGTAAGGGAAGCCTTGCGGTTACAGTGGTGTAGAGAGGTATCTGGACAAGAAACTGACAGAGTGTGTGAATTCTCTTACTCTTATTGTGTAACTAGTATATCCTTAACAGTTGAACTGACAACAAAATTCTCTCAGTTACAGCCCCACCAGAAAATCAGCAGTCACATGAAGAGCCACAGCTCCCTTTGGCAAAAACACTGGGTCTTGTTTTGTTTGGACTTGGTCTGTGCATACACTTGCAAGAGTGCAGTCAGATGTCCATGTCAAGTATCTTCCTCTTGCTTTCCACCTAATCTTTTAAAGTGAGTTCTTGCTGAGCTTGGAGCTCACTGTTTTCTGTAAAGGAGCTCAGCAGCCAAATATCCAGGATCCACTTGGCTCCCTGTCCCATTGCTGGGCTTACCATGTGTGCTGCTGTGCAGTGCCTAACCTTTACCTGAGTGCTGGGTGTGCAGACTCAGGCCCTCATGCATACAGCACTTTATCCACTGAGCTATCTCCCCAGCCCCTAACTGGAATCATAAGACAGTAAGATGTTTCTAAGATCCACAGAAAGTGGGGTTTTTTTTTGTTGTTGTTGTTGGTTTGGTTTGGGTTGGGTTGGTTTGGTTTGGTTTGGTTTGGTTTGGTTTGTTGTTGTTGTTTTTTCCCCCGAGGAAGAGAATTGTCCTCTACCAGTCTCTTCTGTAGCAACTGAAAGTTTGTTGTAAAAATCTGAAAAGGCTTGTTCTTTCTGAGGACAACAAAAAGACACAGATGTTCAGAGAGAGGTTTTTAGAGCTGGGATGCCTGTTTTTATGGCTCTGGAATATTCCCTTCCATGAGGTGGTTGTTACTGACTGCCTGCCCGAAGAAGAAAAGCTGGTGTTAGCCAAGAATAAAGCACTTGCATTTTTGCCTGACATGGACCTAGATAAAGAAAATGTGTGCTGGAAAGAGTAGGACAGGCAACAGTGGAAAGAGGAAAGGAAACAGTGTGGCCAGAAACTGAAAGGGACAAGGCCAAGCAGGTGAGGAGTTCATAAGGCCTGCCTGATGGATTGGGTGTGATCCTGGCTGGGATGGAGCCTGCCTGATGGTTGGGATGTGATCCTTGCTGGGAGCTCGAGGGCCTCGTGCAGGTTTCAGTTGTGTGGGGAGAAGAGTGCAAAGCCTGTTATTGGAGTTTAAGAATGATGCCTAGTTTTTGGTCTGTAGCTTGTGGCACTGAAAATCTAGTTGGCATTTATGGAATGTTGTGAGTAAGGTTCCAGAATGTACCTAAAATGTGGAAAAACAAAACTTGTTGCTGGAAAAGAGCCTAAACTTAAAAATGTGATCCAAGTCAACAAAATAATCTCACTTTAAGTCAAAGGAAATGTCTGAAGTGAAAGGGCTGCCAGGAAGTATAAGGAATATTCAGAAGCCTAGAGGGAGGATGGTTTCTTCGAACGTTGCGATTACACACTTCCGTGCCTTGCTACATTATCAAAACCTAAGATAACCCCTTATTGCCCCTCTGTCTGGAGCTGACCCAGATCGTAATGGCAGTGTTTTCCTTCTCTGACCCCATTCCCTGCTCAGGAGAGAGATATGTATGGGAATGAGGAACAGTTGACCACTGATGTGACCTCTCAAAAGCCACAACATAATTTGTGGTTTATCTGGTGGACCATAAACCAAAGGGAAGGAAAGGAGGAAGTGGATCATTGCCCTTCTTTAGTTTCGTTTGCATAGTACTTCCCAAAATTCAGTGCCCTTTATAGTGGAACATGAATATATTTTCAGAATTTCAAAGATTTGAGCAGAAAAGTGTGATTTTCGTTATCTACAGTTAAAATCTGGCATAAGAAATAGTTTATCCAGAGTTGTATCAAATCATGTTGGCTTCACACTCTGATGCTTGCCAGTAGCTTGGGGTGACCCGGCAGGTCCTGAGGATAGCTGTGTTTCTTTAAACAAAGAATCTATGTCTCCTTTAGTTCTAGAATCTAGAGAGACTGGGCAGGGTAGGGATGCAGGATGAAGTGTTAAAGTCATTCCCAAAGAACAAGGTCTCCTTCACTTGTCTCTAGCAGATTGTATTTCAAAATGGAATTTTGAGCTGTTTAAGTCTGTATTTGGGAACAATCAGGTGCCTTGATAGAGACCTCCCAACTCAGAAAATATTTCAACATTTCAGGCACCAGAGTTGACATTGGTTTTCTGCATTTATGTCTGTGATTATCCCATAACCCATGCTATCTACTGTGCGCTGTCCCCAGATATGGAAGAAAGCAGCAGCGTTGCCATGTTGGTGCCAGAGATTGGAGAGCAGGAGTCTGTGTTAACTGCTGAAGGGGTCCTCAGTCCTTCCCCGGAAGCTGACGAACAAAGAAAAGCCAAAGCGGATCCATTGGTCCATGTTATCCAGAAGTTAAGCAAGATAGTAGGGCATGAAAAGTCACAAAAATGTCTTCTGATTGGGAAAAAGCGCCCACGTCCAAGTGTGATGCCACACTCTCTTGAAAACCCAGAGAACTGTGAGATTCCAGCTAAAGCAGCAGAGTCCCCTGCTGCTGAGGTTAGGAAAGCTCAGATGTCACAAGCAAATTCCACTCCAGACTCTCTTCCCTCAGTTGATGGAAAGGCTATGTCCTACCAGTGTAGCCTTTGTAAGTTCCTGTCGTCATCCTTTTCTGTGTTGAAAGAGCACATCAAGCAGCACGGGCAGCAGAATGATGTGATGCTAATGTGCTCAGAGTGCCACGTCACCTCCAGAAGCCAGGAGGAGCTCGAAGCTCATGTAGTGAATGAGCACGAAAACAGTGCCAACAGTCATGCCCAGTCTAGCTCCCATGTGGGAGCCATTGAAAGAAAGGGTGAGACGGTGGTAGACATCCCAGTGAGCATGGGCAGTCCACAGACCCATGCTGTCCAAAGTGCGGCTGTGGCCGAGGCAGGCAGGAGGAAGTGGTATGCCTATGAGCAGTATGGCATGTACCGGTGTTTGTTCTGCAGCTACACCTGCGGCCAGCAGCGGATGTTAAAGACACATGCTTGGAAACATGCAGGGGAAGTTAACTGCTCCTATCCAATCTTTGAGAATGAACACGAGCCCCTCGGCCTTCTGGCTTCTTCTGTGTCTGCTGCATCTGGTGGGGTTGATGCAGTTGTCATTGCTATTGGGGACAGTGAGCTGAGCATCCACAATGGGCCATCTGTACAAGTACAGATTTGCAGCTCTGAGCCACCCTCATCTTCATCTCCTTTAGATCAGAGCACAGAGGAGGGAGTACACCTAAGCCAGTCAGTCACCCTGGAGCCTAACGAGGAGGAAATGCTGGAGGTGATGTCTGATTCCGAGGAGAATCTGTTTGCTGATAGTTTGCTCTCATCAGCACAGAAAATCATTAGCAGTAGCCCAAATAAAAAAGGTCATGTGAATGTCATTGTGGAACGGTTGCCAAGTGCTGAGGAAACCCTCCCGCCAAAACATTTCCTCATGAGTGCTGAAATGGAAGAGGGCAAGGGCCTGAGTCCTGCTGAAGCCCAGACAGGGTGTGGAGGACCAGGAGATATCTACCATGCTGATAAGTGTACTGTTGACATTGAGGGGGTGATCATCGGCTGGAGCAGTGCAGAGAAGAAGGACACTGAGCTGAGCAAGGGCCTGACTACTGATGAGAATGCGCCGCCAGGGCGGAGAAGGACAAATTCGGAGTCTCTCAGGCTGCACTCCTTAGCTGCAGAAGCCCTTGTCACCATGCCGATAAGAGCTGCTGAACTAACAAGAGCCAGCCTTGGGCATTATGGGGACATAAACCTTTTAGATCCAGACACTGGACAAAGGCAGGTCAGTGGGCCCTTGGCAGCATACTCCAAAAAAATCATGTCTCCTCTTAAGAACTCTTCAGATGGAGTAACAAGTTTTAACCAAAGCAATTCCACTGTGGTAGCGCTCCCAGAGGGAAGGCAGGAGTTGTCAGATGGTCAAGTTAAGACAGGCATCAGTATGTCCCTTCTTACCGTAATAGAAAAACTGAGAGAAAGGACAGACCAAAATGCAACAGATGATGACATTTTGAAAGAGTTGCAGGACAATGCCCAGTGCCAGCCCAACAGTGATGGGAGTTTGTTGGGGTCCAGTGTGGTGGAGTACATCCCAGATGCTGAGCGGCCCTACCGATGCCGCCTGTGCCACTACTCGAGTGGCAACAGGGGCTACATCAAGCAGCACCTGCGTGTTCATCGACAGAGGCAGCCTTACCAGTGTCCTATCTGTGAGCACATAGCCGAGAACAGCAAAGACTTGGAAAGCCACATGATCAACCACTGTAAGACCAGAATACACCAGTGTAAGCAGTGCAAAGAGTCTTTCCATTACAAGGTGAGCGGTGGGCTCCAGGGTTGGCAGGGACTTTATAGCTGTAGCCCAGCCATCTCGTTTTCTCTCTCAGGTGAAAATGAGTTCCAGGGGAGCTTGCTAGTTTGCCCAGAGACACCCCAACAAATTATCATTGAAATTAGATCTGAAAACTACATCTTAATAGTTGCTGTGCAGACCCTTCTCTTAGTCTGCTGCCCACCTCCTTTGTAGCCTCAGCACCTGTCGCTTTTGCATTTTCACATGTATGTATTTTTGGTGCTGGTTTTCGTTTATAAAGAAACATGGACTAGACAGACAGGCACACAATTGACAAAGGATCAGCACAAAAATAATCACTTCCTGCAGTCACATCAGCTGCTACACAACCAGCAAAGGGTGATTTGTGTTGCCCCAGAAAGGATTCATGAGAGGCAACACAATAGAAATGAAGCCATTGTTTGCTCTTGCAGGACAGTTGGAGGGACTGTGCTGGGGGTCAGCCTTAGGACCTCATACCTGTTGGCAAGTGTGCTCCTGGCCCTGGTTTTGAGAGAGTCTTGCCAAATGTCCCAGGCAGAATTTGACGTCTTTTTCAGGCTTTCTCCTTTGTGCTGAGATTACAGGGCTGTGACCCCACACATAGTCTTTGAATGTACTTTCATGGGTATTCAAAATAGATGTTTATCTTACACATTGAGGCAGTGGCCAGTATAAAATATAAAGGGTACCTGTCCTCAAACCTGGGGCCGTTACATCTCCCTCAGACATCTCCCTCAGTATGCCAAGTGTTGAAGATGAAGCTTTACTGGCCAAGTGGAGCGTAGACTGTCGCATAGATCGCTTACACTTGGGATCCAGATGCTGATTTTTTTAAAAAGGAACAAAAGTTGCTCGCATCCGAGTTTCATTGGCACTCAGATTACACCAAGGAGCACATCCAGAGAGGCCCCAGTAGCAAGTTCCAAAAGTACCCACAGTTTCCTTTGCTACCTCTGACCTCCTGATCTAGGGTGGCATTAGCTCCTTAACCCATCTAGCTGCTTTCAGGCAAGTCACAAGGCCTGTGCTTGCTGGTTAAGCTTGTTTGTAGGCATGTCAGTTATCCCCTAAATATCGGCTCCTTCATCTCTTGCTGCTCACCATGTGAGAACCAGGCCCATTTGGGGCAGGTTTCCCTCAGAAACAGGGGCCTCCATTCAGAGAACATGAAAAGAGACCAGACTTCTTGATGAGATTGCAATCACCCAGTGTCTGTCTTTCTATGATTTCATAGATTTAACTTTAATAAGATACTAATTTTTTAAAAAGCAAGCAATAAATTATTAAGGATTTGGCCACAGTTGGGCAAATAGATGGAATCCATGTGGTGATTCTGTTTGGGGGGGGACACCCTAGAACCTGATTGGTAAAGCATTCTAGGCCAAAGGTTCCAAAAGCAGTCGGCCCCTTACATAGCCTCTTGGTAAGCATGCAGTTGTATTTGCTGAAAGTAATGGGTTAATTTTCTTTCTTTATTTTATTTTATATTTTTTAGAGCCAACTAAGGAATCATGAGAGAGAGCAGCACTGCCTGCCCAACACCTTGTCAGTATCTTCGAATGAGCCAAGAATTTGCCGTGATGCCGCTGATGGAAAGTGTGTTCAGGAAGGTATCTGCGTTTTCATTAGCGTCTATTAACTGTACATGGTGGTGGCTTTCATCAGGACATCCTTGTAGATGCATGTAGTGTGCTTTGATCGTGTTCACACACACGGTCATCCTCACTTGTGCCTTGTTAAGTACAGGCTGCACTGACGAGCTTATGAGGTGAAAACACCCTGGCTTGTGTTGGAACACTGTGCGTTCTCCTCTGGTTCATGCTGTGGAGGGAGTGAATCTTCCCTTTGTTCTAAGGGAGTTCCAAGAACTGACCAGAGTAAGTTATACCCAGTTCTGGGTCAGAAGTACTGAATTCAGTAAGGGCTCAGTTGTGACCAGGCAAGTAGATGTTATGGTTGAAATTTGCAGGGTCTGTAAGAGCCAGGCTAAGCAGAGACCCTTGGAAGGAATGGGCCAGCATGTGGGCGCCAGCGTGGAAAGCAAGCCTCCGCCCCTCTCCAGCACCAAATGGCCTTTGGAGGAGGCAAAGCTTTTGCAGATGGCAACCCCCACCTCAAACTTTAACTGAGGCTCCCGCTGTGATCTTACTCTTCTCTAAGTATGATTTCCAGACTTCATCTGCATTATTTAAACACACACAGGAAACTTTTATGTACTAGTTAGGTACTAGTCGGCCGAGTGTCTGGTAATAGGAATATTAGAATCAAAAGATTTAATTAGAGTTCCATGAAAAGGCGGATGCCACATCCAGAAAATGAGGGATCGAGTGTAATAAGCTGTGCTTCCTGGCTTTGGTTCACGTAAATTGATATGCTTTAAATGTCTCCAGTGTGGTACATAGTGTTTATGGGAAATAAAACATATTGGGGTGACTTTCCTTTTTAGATTTCCTAAGAATTAAAGTTAGAAACAACTGCAGAATAAAATGTTTTACCATAATGTCTCATTAAATTATACCCCAGAAAGCATAACTGATTCCAGAATGTTTCTGAAAGAACTGATTTTGACACCACTGTAGCACCAGAATCCCCTTGTCAAACAGATGCCATCCCTGTAAAACCATCCCGAACAAAAGGAGTTTACGACATGGCATCTGCTTCCGAGGTGGATGGCTGAGCGAAAACAGTTTTGTTTCCTTTCTACAGAATAGCCCTAAATGCCTCTTTTTATTTTAATTCATTATGTTTCCATATCCTTTCTAAAGGAGACATTAAGCATTAGACATGATTGGCCCGTAAATCCTAATGGGGAAATAAAGTGCATGCGACCCAGTAGCGCCACCTGCAGTTGACTCTGGTGCTGGGACCATCTTTCCAGCAGCAGTGGAGAAAGCAAGGGCTTAAACCACCCGGTGTTGTTAGATTTAGTGTGTCATCATCAGCATGGCCACTCCAAAGTCACAGTGTCTACACCTTACTCTGCTCTGCACAGCTTTTCTATGTGATTTATATGCTTGCTCCTTGGGGTTAAAGATGTGTAGAGTTCAAAGTGCATACCGTGATCATCTCGTTTTAATTTGGTTTAGGGGTCTTGTTCTCTTTGTTGTTATTGGAGGTTTTTTTGGTGCAGGGGGTATGTGCATGCTGAGCGAGCGCTCTTCAACCAAGCTTCATCCCAGCCCTTACCATGTTTTTAGTTTTGACCCCCACTTGGCTGTGTTTGCTGTTGTGTCATGGTAGTGCAGCAGGCATAGCAAGTGTGTCCCTGCCGCTCACACCTGGATGGGTCCGTGATTAATTCGGCATGGTTGTGATTCACGTTTTCTTAACAGTTCTCTTAGCCGCTCTGTACTCTTATTAAACAAGCTGGGAGGCGTGTGAGCGTCACTCCGGTCTGTGCTATGGCTGTAGCCCAGGCACCATTCAGCATGCTTCCAGTACAGGGAACTAATTCGTTCAGGCAGGGGCCATGGCGTGCCGTCTTGAGCCGGGTCTCTCGGAGTCCAGGTGGTGGGAGGGCAGTGAAGGGCGTCTGTGCCCTTGAGGGAGTCAGAACTGGGCTAGTGGGTACAACATCAGCAGATATCCTGGCATGGCACCTCCGGACTGGCGGACAGTGCCTCTTAGGAAGTTTAAGTTATTCTTTCTTAGAGACCTATCATTTGTGCAGCCCTGGGTTTAATGCCAGCACTGCAGAGACTGTGCCTAGACATGGGCAGGAAGAACACAAGGCTTCTTCAGCCATGTGGGAGTGGCCTCTGCTTCCCATTCTATAGAGAAGGTAAGCAAGGCCTCGAGAGCTGGCACGGTTTGCTCATTCTCAGAGCAGTAGAAGAGCAGAGATTAGGCCCAAGTCGCTGAACTTTAAATCCAGTCTTGATTCTATTGGAAACATTTGCTTGAAGTAGCACAGGCTCTCATTTTGTGCTATATTAGGCTTTTCCATCTGTCAGTTTTATTAGTTGTCATTGATCTGTAATATTTCTCACAAAAAACCATTATCCAATATTTCACACTTCAATTTTTTCAGTTTTTTTAAACTATATTTGGAACAATGCCATTTATAATCAAGTCCAAGTTTTTAACCTACCAATTAAGAGCAATACTTAGATTGTAATTATGATTAGTGTATTAATGTTATAGATTTATACCAGGAAATTGGGACATTTTGTTCTGCCTGGCAGTAGTTATTAGCCAAAGAAAATTTCAATTTTAGAAAGCTTAAATTTAACTTAAGAATATCTTTGTTGAAATTGCAGCGTGGGTTTTCTTTTCTTCCATGGATTTACTTTGACACTGTGTGCACTCCTTCCCACCTAGGCTTGCTTCCTGCCGAGATCACACAGCTCTTCCCGCTCTGCCTAATCCTTGCGCTTCCGTGCTTACCTGCGGTCTGAAAGTAGCACAGTTAGGGTGAGGACGTTTGGGGTATCAGTACACAAAGGACAGGCTGTCTTTGGGAAGCAGTGCTCAGGATGGAGTCCTCTGGCCTATGTTGTCATGTGTGAACTGCTCATCCACAGAATGAGCTAGTAATAGAGCCTGGGTCACTGAATCCAGGTTTGCTGTACATGAAGGAAGCTGTGTATTCACAGCCTTTGTTCCCAAAACGCATCAGCCTCCGAGATGTGGCTGTGCTGAGTTACAGGCTGCTTCAGAATCGGCAGTTGCTTTTTCTCCGTAGTTTAATTGATATGACATTTAGTAGCAAACCAACCCATAGGGTAAAAACCTCAAACTTTTTGTATGTAGCTCACTATGTATGACTGATGGGCATACTTCTTTTTGTCTTATGTGAATCACTGTTTTCCTCCATGTTACATATGTATACTATGTTAGTACAGTGCTCACAGAAGCCAGGAAAAGATACTGGATCCCCTGGAACTTGGGTCATGGATGAGTAACAGACAGTTGAAAGCACTAAGGAGGTGCTTGGAACTAAACCTAGTTCTCTGCAAAACCAGCCAGTCCTTTTGACCCCTGAGCCATCTCTCCAGTTTCTGGCCACACGTGATAATACTAAATTATTTTAGCTTGTTGGCAAATAAATGTTTCTTTAAGATACTGTGACCATTATTGATTATGATAAAACCTTTCAAGTTCACAGTATGTCTTGATTAGTTTAGCTGCTAAATTAACAGTCAGCACAACCACTGGAGCCAAGTTCATTCTACTGCAGAACCTGGAACATGGTTACACAGAACCAGCCCAACCTGCCCATGTTTACACGTTAGGTGATACGAAGTTCAGCTCATGCTTGCTGACAGTCTAGGTGTTAGAAAGTCTAGGGAGCTGCTTAAAACATGTTAATTATACTATGAGAGAGCTTTGATTAAGAGATTGGTACATTGGGAACAGGAACCCCATAAGAAGACCAAGAGAGACAACTAACCCAGACCCATGGGGTCTTACAGAGACTGAGACATCAACTAAGGAGCATGCATGGTCTGAATCTAGGCCCCCTGCATGTATGTGGCCAATGGGCAGCTTGGTCTTCATGTGGGTCGCCTGGCAAGTGTGGGGGGGGGGAGGAGTGGCTGTTTCTAATATGGACTATATTGCCTGCTTTTGGATCACTTCCCTCTGGCAAGGCAGCTTTGCCTAGTCTCAGTGGATGAGGATACGCTCAGTCTTGATATGACTTGATGTGCTGGGGAGGGGACTCCCCTTTTCCCTGGGGGAAGGTGGGAGGAAAGGAAGGAGGGGCCACCTTTGAGATATAAAGTAAATAAATTTAAATAAAATAAAAATTATTAAAAAAGAAAAGGCTATCTTTATATTAAATTTACAATTTAAAAGTGTTGGTACATTATGTCATAATTACTGATTCATGATGGGTTATAAATGCTTCTGTGTACGTCTTACCAAATCATGCCTCTAAACCTCTTTCCTTGAAGGGAGCAAGTCTTCAACCCAGAAACAGTATAGGTGTGATACGTGCGATTACACAAGTACAACATATGTCGGAGTCAGAAACCACAGACGAGTCCATAACTCAGATAAGCCATACAGGTAAGCATGATGACTCTAGAATTCTAATGCTTGTGTTAGAATATTTTATGATAAAGAAATAGTTGGAAATGTGTGGTTGAAACGCATATTAAAAATGGTTACATGCTGGTTTCTTAAATCTCATTTTAGTTTGTTGAGAAATATGAAACAAGAGTTTAGTACAACGGACATTTTGGGGTTGTAGGAGTACTAGAAAGTTTTCTGTGTCCACCAGTTTTATGCTCGTTTCCCTTGGTGTAAATTATTATAGCAGTGTCCAGGGCTATGGAGCTCGTTCCCACCCTGTAAGGGCTGGATACTTGCACATCCCAGCCAAGGCATGAAGGCTGTAAACATACCTATGAAGTTGGTTTTCTGTGGTTTGAACAGGGTCGTTCGATAGCGGTTTGTCACAAAGCAAATTCTGTCTTATGTGCATTTAGAGAAAATAAGGTGTATTCTTGGCCAGACAGAATCAGCTGCTAAGCAGTGACCACTGTTTAGTAAACTTTGCCTCCGGGGGAATGGGGGTTTTATAAAGTGATACTTAGAGTAAAAGTGTGAACATTTTCAGAGTTTGTCACCCATCACAGAGCCAGGCAAGGCACTATCCACAGGCATAAGAGTCCCTTAGCAAAGCAGCTTTTCCCCCAATATAACTGTTTTTGGATTTTAGGTATGATACACAAGACTCTGGACAGGTTGATCCATTAATCCAAATCATGGTTTTAACTTTTTCTAATTATGACCCCTTTTTACCTGAGAAATTTTTACACAAGCTCCAGGTATGTAGGTATATAAGATAGGTATACAAATCAAACATTTACTGATAATCAGAAGGAAACTTATGTTAAACATTATTTGATATTTGTATATTTTACCATGTACTAAACACAGAAGCAAGGTTAATGAGATAGATATATGTACTTACTTTTTTTACATAAAGAACCATACCTTGGTCGAGCAATTAAAATTAAAGAATAGAGATCATCTTCAGTGTTTCTCAGAATTAATATTTCTATTCTGTAATCCTCAAAGCTTAGAACATCATTTCACATGAAAACCTAGTGCAAAGTAGCACAAGTATGTTTGGGGCCGCTTCTGGAACTTTGGTAAATTCTGCCCTAATCCCAAGCCAAAATTCAGGAATTTTTTTTTTTTTTAATGTCACTCAAGTCATACTGAGTTACAGGCAGCAATTTTTTAAATCAAGCTTCCCAGTGCAGCACAATCTAAAGATACATGGACTTGATAAATTACACGCTGGGGCTGGGAAAGTAGCTCAGTTTGTTGCGTGCTTCCCTTGCCAGTGTGAAGTCCTGTCATCAGTCATTAGTGTTGTATAAACTGGGTGTGCTGGCATGAACAGAGCACTTGGAAGTGAGAGGCAGGTGGATCAGAAGCCAAGGTCATCCCCAGTTCCATGTGGAGTTTGAGGCCAGCATGCCTTAAAAAGAAAAAAATAATTATTTTCTGTAATTAAGCTATGTATGTCTACAAGCACAGAAAGCTTTGCGGGTACAGTAAAAAACACTGTAATTGATAACATCACAGTCTTGGGTCTCAACTGAGGGGCATCAGGTGGCATTCGTTGCACTTCTGACTCCACCAGGGCAAAGTGTGCTCATGGTGTGTTGAGAGAGAAGACTGCACTGAAACCTGCTAGGAACAGCTCAGGTTCCTTACATGCTTGGATTAATACTTAATTATTGTATGTTTGGAAACCTTTTGCTGCTGCCACAGTAACCCAGTAACCCAGCCCCATATGGATCAAGACCCAGCTTAAGAGACTGAGATCAAAATGAAACCTGACGGACTGTTACCTCATAAATCAGGTTTCTTAGCCTGGGGAGTTAGCTCAGTGGTTAACACTGCCTGCTCTTCACAGGACCCAAGTGCCACATAGCACCCATGTGGCAGCTCGGAACCATCAGTAACTCCAGTTCTGAGAAATCTAGAACCCTCATTGAGGAACAGGCACACACATGGTGAACAGACAAACCTGTAGACAAAACTCCCATTCACATTCAATAATTTTTAATGTGGTTCTAAAACGTAATGTGCTTGTCACTCTTGCACGCACCTGTGTGCATGTATCAGTGCTCGGGTCTGTCTGTCCGTGTGAGTGACGCCAGCCTCAGGCCTGCAGGCATCCACTGCTGTTGCAGCTCTGGGAGGCAGTCAGCTTTGCCTTAGTAACAGTTTCCAAGGTAGAGAGGGGTATTTTTCAGAACGTGATGACCATTCATTATTGGTAGTCATTGCTGTCCTTTACTGATCCTTGGGGCTGTACATTCTAAGTGAGGAGTGGTCACACATGGCCCTACATAGAAGAGCATGGTAGACACAGGGCTGGCTTTCCTGGCAGCAGCAGGTGTTGCCTTTAAGCCTCAGTACCTTTACTGTTGAATGTAATAGTAGGCCTACCAAATACACGTGATTTGGGCAGGAAACATCTCTGGGTCCAGAGTTAGGTACATTGACTTTTTGAGAAACATGCTGCAAATGCTATGTCCCAGGTACTTTGCTAGGTTCTTGGGCTGTATTCCCAACAGAAAAGACACCATCTTTGTCATCACGGGGCATATGGATAAACTTACAGGCTCAGACACAGGTTCTAGGACCTGATCCACAGGACTGGGCAAGACCTAAAACTCACTGAGTCACAGCTGGAACTGTGTCTGAGTTCCAGTTGGAACACTGAGTTCACAGTGTTCACAGTTGGAACAAGTAGAGTCACTGAGTTCACAGTTGGAACAAGTAGAGTATTCATATACTACATCTCAGCCAAAGCAGGGACACTCAAAAAAATACTGTACAAAAGCATCCTCAGCCACGCATATAAGGTGTATATGAAACGTAGGTAGGTTTTGTTTAGATTTAAGTCTCATTATACATACACAGATACTCCAGGACACACAGTTCCAAGGCAGTTCAGTTCTGACTGTAGAGGAGGCCTTCTCCTGAGTAGATCAGGCTCACAGGTACTGCTGTCAGCATCTTCAGGATGCTCTGTGTGCATCAGCTACTTAGAGGAGAGTCACAGTTTTATGTGCAGAAGTGCCACCTTTTCTTTCTTTCTGTTTTTTTGTTTGTTTTTGTTTTGTTTGGTGGTTTTTCAAGACAGGATTTCTCTATGCAGCCTTGGCTGACCTCGACTCTTTGTAGACCAGGCTGGCCTCAAATCATAGAGATCCGCCTGCCTCTGCCTCCCCAAGTACTGGGGTTAAAGGTGTGCGCCACCACGTCTAGCATAATTGCCTTGCTCTTGCTTCCTGCCTTGCCATCAGTCCTTTGAGCCATCAGTTCTTTGTTTCAGTGCTTGCCTTGTCCTGCTGCATGGGTTTACATACTGGAACACACTGCCAGCACTCTGTCTCCATTGGTGTAGGTCTACAGTTCACTGAGCTGGTGCACACATTTTCTTGGTACCTGGTTTTTATCTGAGGATCACAGTAGTCCTTTCTGACTTAGTTCATAAAAAGTCTAGTTCTCTTTATTGCCTGTTAAAATTCCAGTGTTTGGGCCTGTCCTCAGAGTCCACCTTGTGCACATTTTCAGTCATTACTTTGTTTTCTCTTTTAAGAACAATATAATAAATTCTCATAGAGCAAGAATGCTTTTTTGTCCAGAGAGATGGTCTTTGTACAAATGCACCAGAGGTTCTTCATGTGTCTGAGTGGCCTCTGGTGGAAAGGCTTTTCTGCAGTGGCAACCTCTTCTTTGCTTGCTCTTTGGTTTTCTCAGCTGTTTGCCAGTCCATCCCAGCCTGTCTGCGTGCTCTGGCAGGTACTGTCCTGTGTGAGAGCTCTGCCTGTACTGACAGTCAGTCCAGGGCTTCCATCCGAACCCTACCACTTAACAGGGTTTCGGCTGAATTCTGAGCCCCCTCCCCTATGTAACATAGTAGATGCTTGACTGATGGCTATGCCTCAGTGTAGCTCATTTGTAAAATGGCTCTGGCTTAACAGTACAATTTTTATTAAAAATAAATGCATGTTAATATTACTAACTGCACAGATATATATATGCTAACTTGTATACTACTAACCCCATCAAAAAAAAGATAGAGTTTTCCAATAAACATTAGTTTGCTCACAGCAGGAACCTTACAAGGTCTAAACACTAAGTGTTCTTGTTAGGTTCCTTTATTTCCTTCCTTCCTTCCTTCCTTCCTACCTTCCTTCCTTCCTTCCTTCCTTCCTTCCTTCCTTCCTTCCTTCCTTCCTCCTTCCGTTGTTTCTAATATACACATGGGTGTTGTGCCTGCATGTATTTCTGTACACTACATGTTCAGGATCTGTGGAATCCACAAGAGAAGTCAGACCCTCTGGGGCTGGAATTACAGAAGGCTAAAGTAGCCACATGGGTGCTGAGATGGACTCAGGTCCTGTGGAGGTTAAAAGCCAGTGCTTTTAACCATGAACCATCTCTCTAGCCCTTTTGATTAAGTTTCTTATCTGTCTCACTCTCCTCCCCTCCTTCTCCCTTCTTCCCTCCTCCTTTCCCGCTTCCCCCTCCCCCTCTCTCCTCTCTTCCAAATGTCTTAAATCAATTTCGTAATGGAAGGTAACATACTTACATCCTGGAAACTAACCAGATCCTAAGTTCACACTTGATAAATAATCACAGATTCTTCTCCAGCTTTTGACAGCATGCCCTTCTTGGTCTTCCTGTTACTAAGCACCCTCAACCCCTTTCTCACAAGCACCGTCTTGACTGGTAGCATCAGAAATTAGTTTTGTATGTTTTGAACTTAATAGAAGTAGAACCATATGGTGCATAAACTTTTATGTCATTTTACTCTTTACTCTGTGTGTGAATACTAATAAATTTTATTTCTATATTACATTCTACTATACGACCATAATTCATAGCTGGAAGTATGGGTAGCTCAGAGGTAGGGTGCTTCCCTTTGTGCGCAAAACCCTGGGTTTGATCCCTGAAGCTACCAAAAACAGTTATTTATTCATTCTGTTATTGATAGACATTGAGAATGTTAGCAGATTTTCTACATTGTT